TTTTTAGTTGAGTTAAAGTGGAAAGCAGTGTTTGAATAAACACTTACAACGAAATTTGACTATTGTCAAATTTCCTCTGATCCAAGATATCTTGGATCGATTAAAGCGGTTCTGGTCCAAGCGTCTTTGGCGCTTACTGGTAATTTTTCCAGTTTTTCCCAGTTTTAACCCCGTTTTACACCCCGTATTTTGCCTTTTTTATTGTGATCGTTTAACTATTGCATACTTGTTATAATCACTCTGTTTTCCACTATGTCGGTCTCGCAATGCACCGAGGATTTTGTTCCTGATGGCTCGGATTCTGAGGTAATCGCACGTTGTGGCGGTCCAAGCTGCAATATATCAGTAACTGACGATTCAGGCGGTATGCAGTGCTGTGTCTGCAACCGATGGTACCATCAGCTTTGTAAGGAGCTAAATACCGAGCAGTACGCAGCGCTGGCCTCTAGCGAAAAGTGGCTGTTCAGTTGTGCTAATTGTTGCAGCCGCCGGCAAGGCTGCACAGCCTTTCGTACGAGAGATGAATCTCTTGATACCCGGCTGCGAAATGTAGAGCGTTCGTTCTCGATGCTCTCTGATCTTCGCTTTAAGATTGATCTGCTTATGACGGCGCTTCCGGTCTCCAACAAAGCAGATTTGATCGTTTACACTGATAATCAACTTGTGGCACCTATCATTCTGTCACCGGTCCAGATGGCTACCGACCACCAAAATGAAGCGGCTTCGGACATCGTGTCTAAACCTACGCTGATCGACGCCGAATTGCTGGTTCAAGGGTCACTTCGAGTTAAGCGAAGAAGAGCCAGGTAACATCGTAAGCTCTCTGCTAAAAAAGAAGTTGTTGTCTCGGCACCGGAAACAAGCCAAGTGTCGTTACTTGGCAAACCGTCTGACGGTTGTGCGAAGGCGAAGATCCCAACACACACTACTTGTCAGCCGAAGTTGTCGGAAATCTTGCTTCTCACCAAGAAGACATATTCTGAGGTTGTGCTTGTTTCTGCTCAAAGTAAAAAAGCCTCACGGGACCCTGCTCCTTTTATCAAGAAGAAAAAGCAGACAAAATCTACTATAAGGCCTTCCGGTGAAATCGATGACCCTAACAAAAGTGAGACATCGACTATGGAGCGAAAAACATACGCTGCCGTTGCTACATCATCGGAGGGGCTAAAGACAATTCCATCCCCAGTAGTGAAGCCACCTGCTCCGAGTGCCGAATCAAAGACCCGTGGGGTTAATACACACCGTCGTGGCAATTCTTTCACTAATAGTAGCGTTATACTCGGTCACGCCGCTGAATCTACTGCTGTCCTTCCTGCTGATCGCATGTTGGACGACCTTCAAGGGTTTCAAATGTGCGTAACGAAGCTTCTTCAGCCTGGTTTTCCAGGCGTTACTGTCAGGAAGCTGATTAGACTGGGGAACGTCCCAGTTAACGTACCAAACCCGTGAGCGCGGCTACTTCGTGTGGTACTCTCTACCCAGGAGCAGCGCAGCGCTCTCATGCGATTTGCCTTTAAGCTGAAAGGTACAAATATTAGCGTTCAGCCAGACCTTCCGCTAGCCGATAGGCTGAAGCTAAGGGAGGCCATCAAGGACCTCAAAAGCAGGCGAGCGGCCGGTGAACAAGGTCTCCGGTTAGTGGGTTTTCGGGTGGTCAGCCGGCGGTCCTTTTCCGCCCTACCACTGCCCATTCTGGTAGCGCACGACCCAGGTCTGGATCTAACGAAAACCTTCAGATAGTGCTAAGTAATGTGCGCAGCCTAAGGAATAAGGTGTACGAGTTAGGTCTGCTTGTAGATGGGTCTCATCCCGATATACTCGCATTCACTGAAACGTGGCTGTCTCAGGACATCACGGATGGTGAAGTACATCTATCTGGCTACGCACTATTTAGATGCGATCGCTCTGCTGGCCGACAGGGAGGGGGCGTCGCTCTTTATGTGAGCTGTAAACTTGACGTTTTGAAGACTTGCTTATTTCAGTCGGCAGACAAAACTGTTGAAGCTCTATCGGCTGTTATTAGCACATCCTCGGCTCAGGTTACAGTTGTAATTGTGTATAGAAGCCCTGGGAGCGTATCCAAAGAGGTACTTGAATTCATTCGCTCCCAGTCCGCAAATAAGTGTTTAGTGATGGGCGACTTCAACCTCCCAGAGATTTGCTGGGCAGATCTTTCTTGCGACTCAGCGTCAGGCACATTCGGCGCTGATCTGCTTGAACTTACGCTCCAAGTATCTTTGCACCAGTTCATTGACCTCCCCACTAGGTACATGGACGCCCAAGTACCGTCTATCTTAGACCTTGTATTCGCTAAGTCACTCGATTTTGTTGATGACATTACTTACGGACCTCCACTGGGTTCCAGTGATCATGTTTGTTTGCTCTTCAGTTGTACCCTGTCTAGACGCTACCAGAGCACTGTTGAGTCTCGCCCGAACTTATGGCAAGCAGACTATCAATGAATGAGAGCCAAAGTTCTGGTTTCCATTGTGAGATCACAGACGACGATGCTGTCGAGGTTGCCTGGGATAAATTTAAGTCCTACCTCACAGAGGTCTCTGCTCCCTTCATCCCCGTCAGAAGGAGAAAGGAGGCCCGAGCACAGCCGCCCTGGATAGATCCCACTGGCAGGCATCTGCTCACAAAGAGGTCTAGATGTTGGCGGACTTACCGAGATGCTCCGTCCATCGATACTTATAACAGGTACCGTAAGGCTAAAAATAAGTGTAAGCAACACCTAAGGCATGCTCGGCTCAATTTTGAAAAGGGGTTAGCGAACGAAGCTTCAGAGCACCCAAAAAGATTCTTCGCTTATGTCAAAAGGCGCTGCGCTTCGAACATGTCAATTCCAGTATTGATGTGTGATGACGGTACTCATGCGCATACGGATTTTGACAAGGCCTGCGTACCCAGTGGGCAAAATGCGGCAGCGTTTATAAGGGAAACCTCTTTGACAGGCGTTGAGCTGTTTTACAGGACCCCAGAGAGTTCAGCACTACCTGAATTTATTGAAGCGGAGACTGAAGCTCGTAGGCTGTTACAAGGGCTGAACCCTTCTAAGGCCTCTGGGCCTGATTTAATTCACCCGAAACTGTTGCATGAGTTGGCTGCGGAACTAAGTGGACCGCTCGCTATTGTGTTTCAGAAATCGCTTGACAGCTGTGCATTGCCTTCCGAATGGAAGGAAGCTGTCATCTGTCCCATCTTCAAACATGGGGACAGGGGTCTGCCTGCAAATTACAGGCCAGTTAGTCTGACGAGTGTAGTAGTCAAACTCCTCGAGAAACTGGTGAGAGATTCATTGGAGAGTCATCTGAGTAGATTTAATCTACTTAGCAATGTACAACACGGATTCCGGAAGGGATTTTCGTGTCTGACGAATCTGTTGGTGGCTCGCGAAAATTGGGCGGATGCAGTGGATAACGGCCACACACTGGACGTGCTTTTTGTCGACTTTTCGAAGGCATTTGACAAGGTACCACATTTGAGGCTCGCGCAAAAGCTGTCCTCCTACGGGGTATCTGGCCGCGCCCTTCATTGGGTGACTGCCTTCTTGGAGGGTAGAGAACAGTGTGTACGGGTAGGCCGGGGCCTATCATTTAGGCAGTCTGTCCTCAGTGGCGTGCCGCAGGGCTCGGTCCTTGGACCGCTGTTGTTCTCTATCTATGTGAATGACCTACCCGCGGAGCTTGAGGTACCATCGCTGCTATTTGCTGATGACCTGAAGCTGTGGAACATTGTTGATGTTCCTGGGGGTTCCGAAGCTATTCAGCGAGCATTGGATAAGCTTTGGGACTGGTCTACTTTATGGTTACTGCCCATAAATCAGGCAAAGTGCTCCGTTCTTCGAATTGGAGGAGGTTGTCCTCCTGCGAAGTACTTGGTCGGTGGGGTCGAACTCCCCCGTGTATCTAGCCAGGTTGACCTAGGCGTCGTACACTCTTCGGCTTTACACTCCGGCGACAACTGGAAGAAGGCCGCAAGCAGAGGTTTCCGCATGTTGTGGTTAATCCGACGTTCTTTCGGAGTCTTGACGGGCGGCATCTTTACGAGGCTGTTCTCGGCTTTCGTTCGGCCTCATCTGGAATACTGCGTCCAAGCTTGTCCGCCCTGCCTCGTCCGGGACAAAGTGGAGCTAGAGAGGGTTTTACGAGTGGGTACTAGGTTAGTCGAGGGATTACGGGGACGGACGTACCCCGAGCGTCTACTTAGTTTGGGAATGCATTCAATGCACTACCGAAGGCTTAGAGGAGACCTAATCCTAACCTACCGTATCTTGACTGGGAAGGTTGGTCCAGATTTATCTTGGCTATTCAGTCCCGCTAGATTGTCTGTTCTACGCGGTCATTCGTTGAAGCTGGACAAACCGCGGTCCGATCGGATTAGGGCGGAAATCCGACTGTCACGCAGGGTCATCGACCGCTGGAACATGCTTCCGGAAAGTGTTATCAGGGAATCTACAGTTAAGGGGTTTGAGCGGCAACTTGACGCTCTTGGGTGGCAACACGAAACCTTTCCATTTTCCTGACTAACTCGCATCTTCGTACTTCGATTTTCTTTTCTCTACTTTTCTTCACGTATTGGTATTATTTTCTTATTTAAGTGCACTTCCCTATTCTGTACCTTCGATTTCTCTTCCTATCCTTTGCTTACTTCACGTGACTGCCACAGCAGGGACTGCTAGGGCAGGAAACGTGGGCATTAACTGGTTGGCCAGGGTGCGATACGGGTGTTCCGTTTTAGATCCATCAATAACTGAGCACTTCATCAATTCCTGTCTCAACGATCCACTCAAGATGGAACACTCACGGGATTCTCCTATCGTTCCAGTCCCCATCTGAACTTGAAAAAACTGCAGATGTGATGCAGTTAAACAAGTAAAGACTACCCGAAACGGAGTAGGGACTGCCTTTCAAACGTTGTCGTCTGAAACGCTCTTAATTTTTTAAGAATCCAACTGTTACTTACTAGTTGCACGGCGAAACGCCGTTACCGTACAATCGGTTGTCCGTTGGTATTGATGGGACATTAGGTGAAGCTAGAGCGAGCAACTTACAATGCACACCATTCATTAAGTAGTATAAGCTGTCATGTCGCAGCACATATTTGTTCTATGTGCAGCTGATGTGTGTACACTCCCTTTGTTTTAATAGGCATTTCGCGTCACTGGTTTCTATTGCCGTTATGGGTCGCAAGAAAAGGAAGCAGCTGAAACCTTGGTGCTGGTTTGTTTATTTCTTGGTTTTACGACTTTCCACAGGTACTGCAATAGGGAGTTTGATGATGAGAAGATTCTTATTCAACACCAAAAAGCAAAGCATTTCAAGTGTCCGTTTTGTCACCGAAAGCTATTCACTGGTCCTGGCCTTTCTATCCATTGTAACCAAGTCCACAAGGAGAAGTTAGACAAAATTCCAAATGCTCTCCCGAACCGCACGAGCACTGTCATTGATATTTATGGGATGGTTGGTATTCCTGAGGTAGATCTCATTGAGCACGAACGTCAGAAGCTGGGCATTGAAGGTTAGTGATTTCTCCTACCTTATCCCCTCAGCTGAGGAACCTCCTGAGAAAATTAGCAAAAGCGAAGAAGGAACTTCTTTTTTGCCTCCGCCGCTACCACCGGTCTTGCCGTTTCTTCCTCCTATGGCCCCTCCAATGGTTACCTACGCTCCTATTGGTGGTGAGTTTCATTATTACTTATTCCTACTGCTTAGTTCTTCCCGGGATGTCTCTCAATCCGCATATCAGGTAACTCGAACCTAGCTATACTTCACTTTTAGCGCCGTACCATTACCACCGCCGCCACCTCCACCACCGAGCGGGCCAGCTCCGCCTCCTCCTCAACCCGCATCTGTAATAGGAGACCAGGTATGTTTTTCCTGTTTTTAATCCATTTCCAGTCGCCATCCTTAACTCCTAGGGCCACTTTCCCTGCCTATTCATCACCGGGACCAGTGAAGTCGCAAGTACCCAAAGTTCCGAAACCTGTGTCGGGGGTCAGTGGAGTGACGGTGGAGCTCATACACCCAGCGGATGATTTGTCCCTGGTAAGCACCGACTTTATTATTTTCTATTCCTCCAGGAGGAACTTCGTGCGGAAACTGTGCGCTATAAACGACTATTAGAAGCAGCGACTGCCATGCCGTCAACTAACGTTATCCCGACTCAGCCTGCAGTTGTACCAGGTGGAGTGGCTCCGATTGGATTGATGCATCCGATGACGCTCTCTCATGCGCCTAACATGATGTATCCAGCATCGCCTCTAGCGTCGGCTGTGCCTTTAGTTTGTGCGCCGGGATTCATGCCACCCCCAGGTAAGTGTTTCTTTCCATTCACAGTGACCGCACATTCCTGAAGTCATTACTTATGCATCCTACAGTGACATAAAGACAGGTAAACAAACACCAAGGCTGTCCTACTTTCTAAGGCGGTTACTCAAGTGGTCACCTTGGATAGGTGGTCGCCATAGATAGGTTCAGGCATAGGAACTTTACTCAAAGGAAAAAAAACGTTAGGGATATTTTTGGCCAGTCGCCATAGACAAGTGGTCGATAGCAGGTTCATCATCATCACTATGCGTGTTAGCTGCAGTTGTGCCGCATTACATTGAGAGGGAGCACCAGCAGTGCGCCGGCATACATTACCGACGGTTTGCTGCAGCGCAACCACCACCGGTCACACGTAGGCTACCGATACTGCGAGGGACGCGCTGCCCATATGCAGGCTCGAACCCGCGTCGCCAGAATACACGACAAGCATGTTACCTTTAGGCTACGGTCCGGCGCCACAGCAAATTAGAAAAGAAGAAGACAAGCCGGCTGAGTCACCAGTAACGGATGGACATCGTTCCGGAGGGCTAACAGCCAGCTGTTGTGCAGAAAGTCATTATGCCTATTGATGAGATCGTGATTGGAAAGGAGCCTAAGCGAGAGGGGTTGGGACAAAGGAACTCTCAACACAAACGTCATTGAGGTCAACTCCTAGCCATTTCAAGTGTATCCATGCAATCGTGTTCATGTCTTTCCCAATCCAGGGACCTGAGTGGCTCCAACCTAGTCCAACTTAGAAGTAAGGGCCTTCCTCTTGACCAACTAATCGCTTGGCCACCTCTTCCATCCGCGATCCCGGCGCGCAAACAATGCACATCGCGGCATGCGCAGCACGTGGCCTACCCATCACATTCTAGTGCGTGATATAGTACTGAGCCGTTCACTAGCTCTTCCTGCATCAAATATGCGACGCTGAACACGCTCATTGATCACGCAATGTTCCCACCAGGCATGAATTAACCTGTAAAAAGAACGATATTCAAACGTGACTAGCCTCTTTATATCTGTCGACTTGATGGGCTGGTTTTCACAACCGTATAAGTGGTTTGTACGGACTGCTGCATTATAATGCCCTTCAATGCGAGTGATGTCGCGTCTGCGCCATAGGTGGCAAAGCAACTTGAGCGTTTGCTATACGGTTCGTAGTCTCATCTTCGATCCCACGGGTACTGATATAGCTGCCCAAATACTTGAATTCCTGAACGACTTCTAGCTGATCACCACCACGATTCAACGCAGGAGTTGGTTTTTGCCAATCTTGAAGAAGTACTTTGCATTTCGATGCAACAAAGCATAGCCCAAAACGGTTGACTGCCAGTGCTGATTGGCACGTCTGGGAGCTGTCGCAGATTAGGTAATATCGTCCGCATACTCGAAGTCAATAATTCGCTCTCCAAAAAGTAGCTCTACACCTAGCTAGTGTCCCGCGAACGCTGTCAGTGGCGAAATTAAAGAAGAATGGTGTCAGCGGGCATCCTTGCCTCACCGCTGCTGATACTGAAGGGCGGCGATAGTTTGCCATAAACCCTAACTGCCCGAACTTTGCACGTACATCGCTTTGATAATGTTTAGGTATTCATTTACTTTACTGTCATGATAGCGAGAAAGATGTTGAACATCTATGTAGCTATATCTCAATGTAGGACATGTCCCACTGACATAGTGTTACCTGTAGTAGTGAGCTAGCCCAGGTGAAAAAAGTAAAATATTTACAAGCATAGAAAAAATCTCCATGTACTTACGATATATTCTTGGATGAACCACATGGAGTCCTTCACCAGCTCCGCCGCCTATTACGGATGGGCATCGTTTCGGAAGCTGCAGTTGTGGATTAACGGGCTCCATG